GAAGTCACAAGACTGCTATATATTGCTGATGAGAAAAGGTATTTAGCAATTCATATTTACTAAAATAATTTCATTTCTAGGTTGTGTGTACTGTGGGAGACCAGATATAGTGAATGCAGGGTCATGGGTTTAGTAACACTTTAAAAAACAACAACAAAAACAAAGAAATACAATAAAAAATAAAATTAGGAAAAAAAATGTTTGTTTCCACACTTAATCTGGAGCTGTCCCCCACAGTAATTCCCTTCTGCCGCTAGATATCCTTAGTCTGTCGGGTTGAATAACTGCCAGCATCATTTCAACCTACTTTCCCTTAGATACACAAAAGGAAGAAGTGTGCGCTGACCTGGTGTAGTGATATTACCATGCCAACAGCCCTGCGTTGTACGTGATGACTGCAAGGAACTGCCCGCTAGCAAGAGCAGAGAGTGCAGGTAGCCTGTCAGAGTGAGGAGTAAGTTAAGTATTACATCTTAAGTCACACATTGTGCATATATCCTGATGAACAAACTTTTCTTTATGGGTGGCCCTATCGGCCTCCTACTGCCCGATATCTTTTGACTTAATTGAAGGCGTCGGGCAGGAAATTTTTGGCCACTCAGCACTTCCAGTCAAAATACAGTAGCCTGTCAGGTGGGATTCCGCATTCATCATATTGCCAGCTTTACTCCACATCTCCTAAAGTTAGTGAGTGGGGAGGTGAAGAGGTGGTGCAAGCAGTAAATACACAGTCTGGTTGCAGTAAAACTTGAAACTGGTATTGAATGCAAATGTTACAAACACCCCTGGTGGGTGAGCGGCGCTAGGGAAAGAACTCACAATTCAATGCAGTCAGATGTGGCTGGGGAGAGGTGCCGACAGGGTCTGTTTCAGAGGGTGAAGTGTGGTCTGGCTGGTCCAATCCCAAGAGAAGAAGCTCAGTGCAGGATAGCCAGTTCTAGCCTGTCCCTCCTCAACCTTTCCCTACTGCTAGTTACATTCCCTAACAAGTGGAGTCTCTCTCCTTACCCTAGCCACATTCAAAATGAACTCCAAAGACTTAAACAGACCCTGCTACCCAGAGGTGGCCACCAAGGGTCGTATGGTTGCAGCATAGCCAACTAGAACACTGCTTCATTGACCCAGGAAATCATAGAGAAATGGTGTTTCCCTTGGGCTTCCTCTCCAGGCTGTGGGCCACTCGGATCAAGTGCACCCTACAGTGATCTTAACCGTATCCCCACTGCTCTATAGCAGAAATACTGCTACAGGGTGGCAGGAGTGCACAAAATCAGGTGTATATATACTTGATTTTGCATTTCAGGTTAAGGGACTCACGTGCAACCTACCCGCGCCACCATTCACGGCTGTCCATCACGGGTCCAGGCCTCTAATTACTAGCCGGTGCCCGGTGATTTCCAACTATCACCGACCGGGAGGAGGACTGTTTTTTGTTTACTAACAGTCCTCCCGGTTAGCTCAGGCACACTGCTCTGGAAACACCGCCCCCTAGTGAAACACTCCCAACACACAGTTAACCCTTGATCACTCCTCATGTTAACCCCTTCCTGCCCAGTGCCATTATTACAATGTCAGTGCTTGGTTTTTTTTAATTTTTTTTTATAGCACTGATCACTGTATTGGTGTCACTGGAGATGTCAGTAACACCAAGTCAGCCCCCCCCTCAGTGTCAGAATATCTGCCGCAGTCCTGCTGTAAGTCACTGATCGCCGACATTACTAGTAAAAATAAAATGTGAAAAAAATCCCAGTATATACTGTATACTGCCATTTGTAAACACTACACCTTTCACGTAAATCATTTAATTTCCACAAATTTTTTTTAAGCAAAGACGTAGCAGAATACATTTTGGTGTAGATTTATGATGAAATTAGATTTTTTTTAACATTTTTGTACTGTACATGTTTAATAGTAAAAAGTAAAAAATTTTGTTTCTCAAAATTGTTGACTTTTTTTTTATAGCGCAAAAAATAAAAAACAGAGATGATCAAATACCACCGAAAGAAAGCTCAATTCATGCGGAAAAAAGGACGTAAATTCCATTTGCATGCAGTGTTGATTGACCACGTAATTGTCAGTAACACAAAAAATGGCCTGGTCAGGAAGGGGGGGGGGGGGGGGGGTAATTCTCAGGAGGGCAAGTGGTTTAAAGTTTTTTTTTTTTTTTTTTTTTTTTTTAACTAACAAACATGGTATACTTACCTGCTCTGTGTAATGATTTTGCACAGATCAGCCCTGATCCTGCTGTTCTGGGGTCCCCTGCCAGTGCTTCTGGTTCCTGCTACCTTCGAGTACCCCCCAGCAAGCTGCAGGCTAGAGGGGGTACTCGCACATCTATTGACACACACAGTGCTGCTCAGCCCCACCTCCCACTCCCTCGTCACAGGATTTGATTGACAGCAGTAGGAGCCAATGGCATTTAGGGGAGGGCTGCACCTAAAAGGTTTTTTTTTTTTTTTTTTTTTTTACCTTAATGCAGAGAATGCTTTAAGGTAAGAAACTTTATCCTTTATAACCAATTTAACAAGCAGATTATTATTATTATTATACAGTATTTATAAAGCGCCAATAGTTCGGTCAGCACTGTACAATAAAGATAGTCCTGGAGTTTTTTTTTTTTTTCTTTTAGCTTTATTAATCCTGTACATGTACTTTGTCACTCGTTACTGTATCTTGTCAAATGTGGCTAAAAGTAGTAGATTCAGTCATAAAAACAGAAAAATAATACTTTTATTTGATTTTAATAAGAAGTATCAACTATATGAATCACATAATGCGTTTCCCATAAAAGTGTAAACTATCTAAAACCATACTTGAGTAAATAAAAAGTGTGAGATTTAGTGTAGACAGAAGAAGCGAAGATCAGAGAGTGCAAAATCTGTACCTTTTGCTGGGGAAATATATCAATATTGATGCTCTTTAGAGCTCTGCTTTAATGAGCCTGCTTTTTAGACCAAAACCTAATAAGAAACTGATGGATGTATGGTGCAGTGCTCACATTATTCATCAAATCAGGTAGAAGGTAGTATATGTGTGTATATATGCAGATGGTAAATAAGCGGTTGATGGATTGAGACTACCTAGCGCGTAATTAGTCAGCGGATTATGGCTTGAGGCTATCCTGTTGGTTTTGTTGTAGCAAAAATCTACTGGAGCACTTGTTTGGTGCACTTTTTTTCTTACCTTCTTAATGGATATAATAAACACATATGAGGGCTTTTCTCGACGAATAGATTACCTAACTTTGCCCCAAAGGGAAAGAAAACTGAAGCCATAGATTATAATTGGATGTGCAGAGAATGAGCCCGTTGTCAATATTTGTTTCCTCTTTTTTTCTTTTTTCTGTTTAATCAAGCTGTAACCTAAGCAGAAAGTGAGGGACAGTCTCCCCAGTGAGAACATAATCTTTAATTAAATCAAATGTTCCTACCCTTTCTTTTCAAGAAACAAAATTTAATTGTTCCCATGGCCGAAAGAAAGAAATGCAGCAAAAAAAAAAAAAGAAAAGTCTGATGCACTGTTATCTTTTTTTCTGCTTTATTGCTAACTGGGAAAAAAAAAAAAAAACGTTTTGGGTAGAGGGCTCTAAAGAATGTTACCCTAATATTTCATATTCCTGATATGTGTCTGTTGTAGCATGTACTATGTGTTAGAGTATGCTGCTTCCTTTGTGTGAAAAACCTGGTGATCCTGTTAACCCCCCTACTTTTCTATTTCAAACTGATATTGCTAGTCATGAGAGCTTGTGCATCCTAGTGTGGTCAGTTTTCTGGTTGTCCTGGGAGCTCAGTCTGCCTGTCCTCCAATGCTCAAACTTGTGCTGACATGCGCCCCCCCCCCCCCCACAGCCATTCACTAGGGAGATCAGTGTGCTGCTGTTTCTCCACCCCCACCTCTCCAAGCCTCTTATGCAGCTGAGAACAGAGATTATGTGATTACTTATAAAAAAAAGAAAAGGTATTTATAATATTTTTATATGTATACACAAATGTTTTGTATTTCATTTCTGTTTTAAACTGATTGATTTGTGTTACAAGGTAAGAGCTCACATATGCTTTGAGGTCTCTTGCACATGGATGTTGTACCCTGGATGGATGTTATGTATACATGTGTAAAATTCTCCTTTATCCTCTTCTAGTTGCCTGTGTTTCAGTTTCCGTTTTAAAGCTTATAAATAATGCATAAAACCACGCTCTTCAGAGTAATCATAAGCATCAAAAAGATAACAAAAATTAGTTAATCATAAAAAATGTCACTGCTGCTAGCTTAAAGGATGGGTTCACCTTTTGTAGCATGTTACACCCGTATTCAGGGTGCAGCAAACCCCAATCCCTCGTTGTGACAGCGGGCTGGGGATCCTTTGTGCTGTCACAAATTAAAAAAAACGCACCAGTTTGGGGCTCCGCTCACCCACCCACATCAGTATTTGTAAACAATGGACGTTTCTTGTGCTCCCTTTTAAAGTGTTAAATATTGCATTGAAACCATTTGTTATATCTGTTCAATAAGTGCAAAAAAAAAATCTGTTCCTCATTTCAGAACTTATGTCTACACACTTCCTGTGTTATTTTAACCGCTAGCCTACCGGGCACTTATACCCCTTTCCTGCCCAGGCCAATTTCCAGCTTTCAGCGCTGTCGCACTGTGAATGAAAATTGCGCGGTCTTACAACATTGTACCCATATGAAATTTTTATCACCGTGCATGTGAAAGATAGAGCTTTATTTTGGTGGTATTTAATCACCTCTGGATTTTTTATTTTTATTAAACCAAAAAGCACAGAAAATTTAGAAAAAAAAAATGTTTTTTCTTAGTTTTTGTTATACAATTTAGTAAATAAGTGATTTTTCTCCTTCACTGATATGTGCTAATGAGGCTGCAGTGGTGGGCACTGATAGGCTGCACTGATGGACACTCATAGGTGGCACTGATGGGCACTGATGAGGAGGCACTGGTAGGTGGCATTGACAGAAATCACTGATGGGGACTGAAAGGCAGCACGGATAGGTGGCACTGATAGGCGGCACTGACTGGCACTGATAGGCGGCACTGACTGGCACTGATAGCGGCACTGATAGGCGGCACTGACTGGCACTGATAGGCGGCACTGACTGGCACTGATAGGCGGCACTGATAGGTGGCACTGATTGGCATTGATGGGTGACACTGAAAGGCAGCTCAGATGGGCAATGATATGTGGCATTGATGTGCACTGGTAGGCACTGATATGTGGCATTGGTGTGGCACTGATGGGCACTGGCAGGTGGCATGGATGAGCACTGACACAAGGCACTGATGGACACTGACAGGTGGCACTGTTGGGGCTACACTGATCATCAGGGCACACTGATCATCAGTGCTTTGATGATCTGTATACATGTCCCCTCCGCGGAAAGCCGATTACCGGCTCTTCTCTTTCCGTGATCGGTGATCCGCTGTGTCTGAGGGACACAGCGCACTGTCGATTGCCGCGCTGCGCGCTCCCTGAGCTGCGCATGCGCAGTGAGAATGGGAGGACGTCATATGATGTCCTTCCAGAACGAGAGAACCACCTTGCGCCCGTCATTGGACTATATGGCGGGCGGGAGGTGGTTAATTTCTTCTGGTGTTATTTTAACTGCTTTCTAAATGCCCTATAGAAGAAATACTGCTACAGGGCGGCACGGGTGCGCAAATATCACGTATATACCCGCGCTGCCATTCGTGGCCGCGGCTGTCAATCACCGGGTCTCAGCCAGAAATTACCCACAGGCGCCCAGTGATTACCAAGCATCTCTGACAGGGTAGGAAGACTGTTTTGTTTACAAACAGTCTTCCACCCTGGCAGCTCGGACAACAACTGCTCAGGATGGCTGTGCACAGCACAGCCATCTGGATCAGTGTGCTTACAGTGAAGCCCACACCCTCTGTCCCCTAGTAAAACTCTCCCTACGTATAATTTACCCTTTGATCGCCCCTCATATTAACCCCTTCCTGCCCAGTGATCACTGTATTGGTGTCACTGGGGATGTCGTAAATATTTGACAAAAATTTGATTTTTTAAAAATGTTTGTACTGGACATGTTTAATAGCAAAACGTCAAAAATGTTGTTTTTTTTTTTCTCAAAATTGTCAGACTTTTCTTTTTTTATAGCGCAAAAAATAAAAACTGCACAGGCAATCAAATACCACCAAAAAAAGCTCAATTCATGGGGGAAAAAAAGGATGTAAATTTGATTTGGGTGCAGCGTTGCACGACCGTGCAATTGTCAGTTAAATTATCGCAGGGCTGTAACGCAAAAAAAGGGCAAATGGTTAATTAACTCTCCTAGTTCTTCTCTTGGACTACAGAATGATTAGTGTCTGTATTGTGGAGATGAGGCGGGTGAGAGAGTTTGAGTAGTTTATCAAAAGATAACCAGGCAGGGCTGATAACTCTCAGGCTGCATTCACATTTTTGCATAGTGGGAACGAGGATTCCTGCTTTTGATTTTGTTGGGCGATTTTGTATGCAATTTTGCGTATCAAACTTAGGGCAGCCTATTTATTTCATGGGTCGCCCTATGCACATATATTGGCCAAAAAGTAGCATGAGCTTCTTTTTTGGGCAACAAGGTTTTTAAAACTCTGCATTTTGCCATGATCGCCACGTGACGATAACTGCAGAATCAAGCCACATTTGCGGTGCTGTTAAGGAATCAGGCACCCAAAACCGTGTCACAAGTTCTACCATGATTTGGGATTGTGGGCATTTCTGGCGGATCTACTGTACCAATATTTTTCTGCAAGTATAAAACACGGGGAAATGTGTATTTATTGCAGAGATGTACTGCATTGTTTTTTGCCCTGACATACACTTATACACAGTTTTGCATGCACTGTGAGTTTTTTTTTATACTTTATGTATACAATGACAGTAAAGTGTTCTCTTTTATATATATATATATATATATTATATATATAATATATTTATATATATATATATATATAATTAATTTTCCTCCTCTTCTAATCCCAGACAGATCATAAAGTCAATTTTGCAAATACTGTTGCCATTAGCAATACTTCAATCTGGTACATTGCTAACAAAGATGTAATGTTTTACCAGCCCAAGCTTGGCTAATTCTCCAATAGCTCACAATTGTTTTTATCTATTAACTGCTTATCCATTTTTTTTTTTTTACTTGCAACATTTCGCCTGCCCATTCTGAACTATTTGAAAGTGTAAAAAATATGTAATATGACATAAGCATGGCAAGGTAACAATTCTCAATTACAACCTCTCCTTGACGTTTCAGCACATTACGCTTCTTATACACACTGAATATGAACAGTTTATTGTTCATGCAAACAACAAGCTGTTGACTATTACTCATAACATCCTCTGCATTTGGTGACCTGGAACAACAATTTCTGGTCTACAAGAGCATTGCCCATATGAATTTATTGCTTCTACTCAGAAACCTGCACTTTAAAAAACATATTTCAATTCTTTAGAAGCATATGTTATGAATCTGATTAAAGCTGTATTAAACCCAAAACCAAAGATGTAATATATTTCAGCTTACCAATCACTAGATGTGGTGGCTGCATTAGTTTTAATTTTTTAGGCTCCCCCCCTCCTCTGTTTTTCACCTGGCAATCTGGCCAGTAACACGCCTCCTGTGTTAACAAGATACCACTCTGAATGAAGAAGCACCTTTGGACAGCAACATTGTCAGTCTGGGAGGGGAGTGAGTGGTAGATGAACTAGCAGATTTAGATATACTAACAAATTGAATCTGAAATCCAGCTAATACTTCATAAGCAGTTACAGCAAACTGTTTATTTTTTCCTTTTGGGATAAAGGTTAATATAAATAAAAGCTGATCCTTGTAAGCACCCCTGTCAGTAGTAAATGGTTTGACTCAAACCTCTAACTGATACATCTGCAGAACAGCTTGTTCTTTTGTAAAACAACAGACTTACTGACCAGATCACCAGGTGAAAATAAGAAAAAGAAAATTAATGCAGACATTGCATTTCAGAATTAGTAAGCTGCAATATAAGAAACATTTGCTTTTGGGTTTATTACTGATTTAATATCTATAGTACAATAGTTTAACATTTGCAGTGATATATATTTATAGTTGTCTATCATACACATTCTGAGTTCTCCGTTTTCTACTGGGCACTCTAGTCCACTGATTTAATCAAACATTCTGGCTACTGAAACAACTGGCAGACCTACAGTACATCATTTATCAGATGCCATGCATTTGGGGATACAATTATTGAGGTGACTATCTATGACTGCAGATCCTGTCTTTTGCCCCTACCAACAAGAGCTGTTCGCAGAAAGTGATGCTGGGTCCTGGTCTGCGTATTGTCACCAGTGGGACATGCTGGAGCATGGGGAAAGGAGTCTTGGGTATGCCGGGAAGCAATTCCAGTGACAGCATAACATGAGCACAGGTATACCTTACAGAGTCGGCGACATTTTCCCCCGTTTTTATAGTCCTCATCTAGCATTTTTCCCCATCATAAGTAATAGCACATAAATCAATTTTTATGTGAGGTGTGGGTTGTCATAACATCGTAAGCGGGGTTTGGACCAATAAAAAAAGAAAACCGTATATATAAAATGAGGGTCAATGTGTAGGGGTGTTGCTATGGATGCCAAAGCTTGTGTGTCCATGGGTTCAAGGCACAGAAATTGAGTCCCAGTTGTATGACTTTTTTTTTTTTTAAATGTGGTATTTCTATTGATTTACCTGTAACGTTCTCATTATGTTAAACCCAATGTGATGTGCTACTCTGTCATCCCTTAACATTTAAGTGAAATGAATCATTATTGCAATGTTATATAGCTTGAGTTTTAGTTATTTGTCATAACTGTTTTAACATAAGTAAATTATTCCTTTAAAGTGACCTTGTCTAAATAGAAATATGGGACATTCAGGGATCACCTCAGTTGCTGTCCAGTGAACTGAATAAAGGGGGGTGGACTCATGCGCTGCCAAAGATATAAAAACGAAGAAGCTGCTGACACCTGACAAAGGTCTTTGGCATTTGTGTATGGTATAATAAATTTTACTCTATTACACTATGGTGGCTTTTTCTCTGATCCCCTGTTTATGAGCCATTGGGAGAGTGGAGGAGTTTTGTAAAGGTGCCTTACCATTGTAATGGTTGATTAACCATGGGCTTTGTCCATCCAGAGAGTGAAATTCATCCCAACTGGGAATAACTGGTGATCTGTTATGCCTTATGATTCCTTGAGGGTCAAAGATTGGAGGCAAGCGTGCACGCTAGATAGTGACAGATGGTCTGATGCACTTGAGCACGTATTTATTTTCGTGGTCAAAGACTGGTTCATCACAGTTGTACGTTTGGGACTTTGTGCTATATGATTTATGAATATTGTTCATTTATGATCACATGTATTTATATATTTGGTTAATATTTGTTTCACTTATATCACCTATCACTTATATTTAGTCACATTCTTGATGGCATGTTTTTGGGCTACACATTAGGTGCACCACTGTACACCTATATATTTATTCATAAAATTTATGTATTCACCCATTTAATATTGAGTATTTTATTTCTATTGTTTGTCTATTATCACATGGTATTAGCGCTACACCACCTTATCTACTTATGTCCAGTGAACTGGCAGACCTTACACACTGTCTTCCATCTCCTAAATGTGCAATGTGTGTATTTGGGCACTTGCCAAGCAGTACATAGCAGATTTAAGGTGTATGTGTGCCCAGACTATGGGCATGAAAACATCTACATATTCTTAACTAGCAGTAAGAGAGCTTTAAAACAAGCCCTCACTAACCTTTTTAGCGGTTTGTGCTGTGAAGTAACCTATTGTTAGTTTCTCAAAAAATACATTGAAGACCCTAAAGTCATGTTTCACTCATTTTCTAAAAGCTTACAAGCAGCTGGTTGACTGCCAAGATTATAATGGAAGTAAAAGCCCAGCATCTGCCTACAGAAAAATTACCCTTCCAGTGGCACACTGGGAAAGGGATTTAATGCTTTAGTCTGGTGGGATAGTAATAAGTACTAATTTGTACTTTATAACTTACTATGATTCACTTCCCATGAGCTGCTCAACCATTCCTCAAAGCTGCTCCACTTTACCCCTCCTGGTTGCAGGCTTTCTAACATCATCACTCATACATACAGTAGTAGTACTTTTTTTTAAATATTTACTAATTTTCAACAAAATACATTTTACCATCATTTTCTCTAATTAACAAAAGAAAATGAAACATTATCATTCTACTACAATGATTATCCCCTTAACATATCTTTGTTCCCCCCCCCCCCCCCCGACCATCCTCATTCATCTCCCACACTCCTGCCCCCCCCCCCCCCCCGAGCGATCTGCGTTTTCCAACCTCCTCACTATGGAGAGCAATCAAAGTACCGTATTTTTTGCTCCATAAGACGCACCTGACCATAAGACGCACCTAGGTTTTAGAGGCAAAAAACAGGAAAAAAAAATTCTGAACCAATGGACTGCAGACACAGTACAGGAAATGACCAGAGACTGCGGACACAGTACAGGAGGTGACCAGAGACTGTGGACACAGTACAGGGGATGACCAGAGACTGCTGACACGGTACAGGAGATGACCAGAGACTGCGGACACGGTACAGGAGATGACCAGAGACTGCGGACACGGTACAGGAGATGACCAGAGACTGCGGACACGGTACAGGAGATGACCAGAGACTGCGGACACTGTACAGGGGATGACCAGAGACTGCGGACACGGTACAGGGATGACCAGAGACTGCGGACACGGTACAGGGGATGACCAGAGACTGCGGACACGGTACAGGAGATGACCAGAGACTGCGGACACGGTACAGGAGATGACCAGAGACTGCGGACACTGTACAGGGATGACCAGAGACTGCGGACACGGTACAGGGGATGACCAGAGACTGCGGACACGGTACAGGGATGACCAGAGACTGCGGACACGGTACAGGGGATGACCAGAGACTGCGGACACGGTACAGGAGATGACCAGAGACTGCGGACACGGTACAGGAGACGACCAGAGACTGCGGACACAGTACAGGAGATGACCAGAGACTGCGGACACAGTACAGATGACCAGAGACTGCGGACATAGTACAGGGAAAATACCAGGGAACAGTACAGATGACCAGAGACTGCAGACAGTGCAGGGAATAACCAGAGACTGCAGACAGTACAGGGATGACCAGAGACTGCAGACAGTAAAGGAGATTACCAGAGACTGCTGACCTTTGGGGAGGGAGGGGGAGCGGGTACCTGAATTTGACAGGTACCCACTCCCACTTCTGCGGAGCTGTCCTTCTCTCTTCTTCCCGCGCCGGCTTCTGTGACAGCCGGGTGCCCACTGCGCATGTGCGAGAAGCGCTGCGCTTTGTGAATGGCCCGGCGCCTTCTGGGACCTGTCATGTGTCCCAGAAGACATCGGACCATTCACAAAGCGAAGCGCATGCGCAGTGGGCACCCGGCTGTCACAGAAGCCAGCGCGGGAAGACTGTGCAGCGCTGGAGCGAGGAACAGGTAAGGCCCTGCAAGAGAGAACAGCTGAGCGGCCGGCCCGGTATTCTGACACGGTGGCGGCAGAAATACCGGATCGGCCACTTTATATTCGCTCCATAAGACGCACTGACATTTCCCCCCCTTTTTTGGGGGGAAAAAAGTGCGTCTTATGGAGCGAAAAATACGGTATATTTAATAGGATATTACATCTTCATATATGTCACCTTCCATTTATGATCTTCCCATTTTTTCCATTTTGCATAAAATGTCCCCATCTTGTCTACGTGCATATAATAAAGTTTCTCCGTCTCACAAATCTGGTTTACTCTAACTACCCAATCCTCTTCCGTTGGTACTTTCTTTTTTCGCCAAAACCTGAGTATCAAACTCTTTGCTGCATTCAAAAAACACCATACACCCAATTCCTTATATAATTTTACTGACAACTCTGTATCGTGGAAAAGACAAACCTCTGGGTCTAACCTAATATTGATTTCAGTAATCCTTCCTATCAAATTAAAAATGCAAACATTTTGGAAGAAAATAGTTTCACACTCCCACCATATATGATACAACGTGCCTATCTCCCCACAACCCCTCCAACACAGTGGTGAAATCTCCCCATTCATTTTATGCTCAATTTGTGGTGTAATATGCCATCTTATCAAACACTTATAATTTATTTCCACCTCTCGCATGCTAATATTTTTGTGAATTAATTTAGATATTTTCTCCTGATTCCCCTCGTCTATTTCCATCCCCAAATCTCTTTCCCATTTCTCTATATACATTGGTTTTGTGTTAGTGTCTAAATCAGTTAATATCTTATATATTTTAGCAATTCCGTGTTTTCCATCTCCCCGTGATTCCAACAATTTTTCACATGGATTCCAATCCTTTCTAGTTCTCAAAGGCTTCGGGAGTCTCTTAACAAAGTGCTTCAATTGTTGATCTCTCCACTCATTCATCCTATTGAAAACATCTCCTTTCTTCTTTTCCAACTCTTTATATGATCCCAATTCCTTCCCCACCATTATATCTCTCAATTGCGCGTCCTCCTTTATAATCCATTTTCCTGTGATACCCTCCCTACCTGGGGCAAAAAACTCTGTATTCCTTAGTGGTATTAACAGTGAATTAAAAACCCACCCCTTCTGTCTGTGCAATATTTCCCAAACTCTTAAAACATTTAATGTGTACTTGCTTGTGTTAACATCTAATCCCCTATATTGTGCGGGCACCCATATGATCCTACCCAGATTTGTTCCACTCAGTATATTCAATTTTAGCCCAACTTTTCCCAGGATTGTGCGTCCAATCAAAAATTCTTGCCAACCTTACAGATTTATAATATCTCTTAAAGTCTGGTACTCCCAAACCACCCCTCTCTTTATTTCTACTCAGCGTTTCATAACATATTCTAGGTTTTTTATTCCTCCATATTTTTATCATTTTTTTAAGTTCTTTAAAATATACCTCTGGAAGTTTGATTGGAACCATTTGGAATTTATATAAGATTTTGGGCACGATTACCATTTGTATCAGATTTATGCGTCCTATCCAAGACTGGTTTCCTCCCCCTAATCTCTTTAATTCCTCTTTAATCTCATTTAATAGTGAAATATCATTTAGTTTATACAAATTCTTATATGAAGCAGAAAGTTTTACCCCTAGATACTTTCATTCTTTTTCTCTACATACGAAGGGAAATTCTTCTTGTATTTTTTCTTTTTCAGTGTTTGTAAGATTTATATTTAAGATCTCAGTTTTTGTCAGGTTAATTTTTAAATTTGATACATCCCCATATTCCTTCATTAACCTCATTAAATTTGGGAGAGTTATCCTAGGATTTCCCACATAGAACATCAGGTATCTGCATAGGCCTCCACCTTATGTTCTCTATCTCCTATCCGTATTCCCTTTATATCTATATTCTTCCTTATTGTAGATAACAACGGCTCCAAAGATAAAACATATAACAATGGGGACAGTCGGCATCCCTGTCTTGTTCCATTTGACATCTCGAAAAACTCAGACCTTTCTCCATTAACCATAATAGCTGCTGCGGGCTGTCTATATAACTTTCCAATGCACTCTCTCATTCTAACTCCCAGCCCTAGCGCTTCCCAGGTGTCCATCATAAATCTCCAATTAACTCTATCGAATGCCTTATCGGCGTCAATTGACAACAACACCACCAGGGTTTTCCCTTTTCTACTTTCCTGAATGAGCAACAATGATCTCAACCCGTTATCTCTGCCCTCTCTTCCCTGGGACAAACCCCACCCGATCCTCCTGTATCCAATCAGGCATTAAATCTTTTAACCTATTTGCCAATACCTTTGCGTACAATTTGGTGTCTATGTTCAACAATGAGATTGGTCTATAGCTTGAGCACTGGGAGGTATCCTAATCTTCCTTATGAATTAGAACTACATTAGCCTGTAGAGATTCTCGCCTCATTTCCATCTCTCCCCCCAGGGCGTTCATATATATCTTCAATTTGGGTATTAACAGTTCTTTATATTTTTTATAGTATCTCACAGTATATCCATCTGGCCCCCGGGCTTTTCCCCGCTATAGTACTTTTTAATGCTGTTTTTTATTTCTTCTAATGTAATTTCTGATTCTAGGGAGTTCGATTGTACTTCACTCAGTTTTGGTAGGCCTGCGTTTTTTTAAGGTATGTTCTTTTTTTTCACCATTTACTATTTCAACTTTATTTATAGTATCTTGGGGGGTGATATTATACAGCTTACTATAATATTCCTTAAATACTTTAGCAATATCTTTAGTTGAGTGAACCACTTCGCCCTTAGGGTTTCTTATTTTTTCTATATAATTCCTGGTTTTCTTTTTCCTTAAAGCTCTCATTAAGTACTTTCCCGGCCTATCTCCCCATCTATACCTTTCACTTATTACTTTATTGAAAACTCTTCTTTTTTCCTCTTCCATCAAGGTCTCTAACTCTTCTTTCTTTTTTATTATCTTCTTCATTATCTCCTTAGATATTTTACTTTTATGCACCTGTTCAAGATCGAATATTTCCTTTTAGAAGTCCACTAATTTTTTTCCCCCTTTTTTTTTCTTTTTTGCCCCCATTGCAATAAGTAATCCTCTTATGTAAGCCTTATGAGCCTCCCACACTGTAGCCACCGACACTTCTCCCGTATCATTCTCCTCAAAAAATCTTTTGATTTCCATCTCGATCTTCTAATTAATCTCATGATCCAGAAGAAGTGCCTAGTTCATCTTCCAAACTAAACCTCTCTTCACCTCTCTTCCCCATCTTGATTTCATTGCAACAGGGGCATGATCTAATAAAGACCTTACTTCAATTTTTTCTTTTGCTACAGACTCTATAAATCGGTGTTCTATCAGTATATAATCCAATCTAGAGTATGTCTCATGTGAGAAGAAGGTATAGTCTCTGTCTTTCATGTGCTTAATTCTCCATATATCTACCAGTTGGCATTCATGTATCAACCTCTTTAATGACCTCAGAGACCTACTCTCTTCCCTCTGCACAGAAGAGGTTGTGTCCATCTGCAGATCCATACAAATGTTAAAATCTCCAGCTACTATCAAACGGACTTTTTTAAAACCCATCAGTTTTTTTTCAATACTCCCTTTAAATATATCTCTGGCTTTTTATTTTGGCAGTATATGTTAACTATTGTACACTCAATTTCTTGCATTTTACCCCTCAAAAACAGAAATCTTCCCTCAGGATCCATCATTCTATTCTCCAACTCAAACCTTATATTCTTAGCGAACCCTATAGCCACCCCCTTTGTTCTTTTAGTAGGTGAATCTGCATAGTACCATATTGGGTAGTGTCTAGTGTTCAGCCTTACATTTGACTCAATCTCTAGATGTGTCTCTTGTAAAAAAACCACTGAAGATGTTCTGTGTTGCAGCTCTCTAAACAATCTAAATCTCTTCCCAGGACAATACAACCCCTTTACATTATACGTTACAAACTGTACTTCTTCCATATTTCCCTTCTCCACCTCCTTTCCTCTCCTGCTTCTCTCATAGCTCCTCTTAACTCGCAGAATGTTACCCCTAATACCCCCCTCCCTCCTCTCTCTCCCCAACTCTCCCACTCCACCCACCCATACCCATCCCCCCTCATCCTCCCTCTTTCCTCCCTCTTTTTAGGCTTAAGATTTGCCTACTAATCATTTGTGGGCCAAAACCCACCTTTGATTTAAAATTCTGGGGTTTAACTCCGCCCACATACGACTCTCCCTTTCCCAACCCCCTCTGTCCCTTTTATCTATCTAATTCAATAACTTCTCACTGCCACTTAAGAATGAAAACAACATTTGAACAGAGAAATCATGGAAGGAAAAGGAAGAGAGAAGAAAAAAAAAAACCCCTCTCTCTTCTCAACCATTCCCGTCCCTACCTTCCCCCTCCTACTAACTGCCAATCCTCTTTCCCTGTATCCTCTATATCTCTTTCTTCTTCTTCCCACCCTGGTAACCTTATTCTTTGTAAGTCAAGTCTATCACAAAAGTCTCTCAAGTCCTCAGGAAATCTCAGAGTTGCCGTGAGTCCGTTTTTCCATCCAGTTAAGCTCGCTTGGGCTCCCCATCTATACTGCACATTCTGTTTTCTCATCAAGTCCACCAGGGGTTTTAAAGATCTCTTTCTCCATAATGTCTCTGGTGCTAAATCCGCAAAAATTTGAATATTTATTTCTTCATACTTGATATTTGTTCTTC